GGTCTGCATGCCTAGGTGCTTGATTATATACACCTGTAACCGTGGAAGTGGTTGGAACACCTGAATTCAATGATTTGGATGGGTGAGTGAATGCTTTTGGCAATATAGTGTATTTCCTGCAGAGGGTACGTTGATTTCGATTGCAGAGGGTGGAGTCTGTCACCTGTGAGTTTAGCTCAGTCTTCCTCAAACTGACTGACAGGCTGTACTGTTTGTTCAAACAAACTGAAGAATGACATGAACCATCCTCAAGACAAAGCAGTAAAACATCCTCTCCTCTTCCTGCTTTCAGCTGTCAGGCCCTCCTCACCCCTCCTCCTTTGCTGCCCAGTGAGGGTGTCTCTCCGACTCATCAGGCCCCGCCCCTGCAGGTCCAGCTGCAGCAGCTGTCAAAGGAGAAGCAGAGCGTGGAAGTGGAGCTTCAACTCTGCCGGGAGGCAGAGCGAGAGGCCTGCGAGAGAGTCCACAGGTCAGCTTCTCCCTGTCGACATGCTCTGATACTGTATCCAGTCGTCATGTTCGGGTTCTGTAGTTGCACTGACATTTTAGAGCATAGTGTTCTTCTGTTAAAGCCGCTCCATACAGACAGACACCTGGTCCCTGGCTCTGAGCATGATTCAACTTGAAATCTGATGGAAACGGTTAGTTGGTGATAATTAGTCTGTCGTAAGTAAAATTAATGGCAGCCACTTTAATAATTGTTTGAATCATTTTTAAGCATAGATACCAGTGTTTGCTGGTTCCAAGCTTTCAAACCTTTTCATCATTTACATGAATTATTTTTGTTTCTGTGTTGGTCAGGTGAAACAAGGGTTAGGGTTAACCCATTAGAGGAGGCCTCTAGGAAACTGTGATGGATATTTGTGACAGTTTTCTAGGCACAACAATTGATTACTTGAGAAAATTATTCATGGATTAATTGGTCTTTTAAAAAAATATTTGTTGCGGCTCTAGAAGAAAATCCAGTGAGGTAATAATATTTTGGCTGTAGCCCCAAACTAACACGTCACCTTTAGTTTCAGCGTAATTCACTGCAGGCAGCCAGCCGACACATCTGCTGGAGGAAACATCTGTTCTCGAGTTTCATTTCATCTTCTCACATTTCCATTCAGGTCCTTAATAAATAACTGCCATTTAGTAAATGTGTTCGTCGTGCCCTGTGTCAGAGGGCATGTACTGATCCATCTGAAACAAGCAGCTGGATGCTGTGTTGTCATATTGAAATCACCAGCTCAGTTTTCACAGGAGGAGGGAAATGCTGAGCTGTGCATACATTCAGTGACCTTTGCTAAATACCAACATTCGTGTTCGTGTGCTTTTCTACCATACCTGGACAAAGCGCTTTACAGATTCACCCACACACACAGCGATGGTGGCCGCCGGAGGCAACTTGGGGTTCAGTGTCTTGCCCACGGACACTTCGCCATGTGGACTAAGAACGAGAATCGAACCGCACACCCTGCGATCAGGGGTCGACCCTCTCTACCCCTGAGTCACAGCCGGCCCATATTCAAAGTACTTAACACGACGCACATGGATAGATACAACATTCAAATGCAAGCTATAAATGTTAAAAGCAACAATAACAGCACAAAGCAGCAACGGGCCAGAGTAGATACCCAGTACTAAAGTACTATGGTTACAACTGTGGCAGACTGTGGATTCTTCACTTCAGTTTTCCCTAGACAAACCTCGGAGTATTTTACCATCAAGACTAACCTCTGAGGTCTTTAAGATCGGAGGCAGAGGTACTTTGTTCAGCGTCAGCGTCTATACAGTCGGCTCAGCTCAACGGTACAATGGAGTCAGATGGTTATTGAGATATGGAAGAAAAATAAAAACAGATAAACTGTAAAACACCCACCGGACTCAGCAAACATGTCTCTGAGGGTTTTTAGGGGCCAGACCACTCAGAAACTTATTGCGGGGCCTAGAACTGAATTGTCTGTTTCACTATATTTGACCGTCCTTCACTGTTTTAAAACTTCATCAGCACTGGCTGATTTCATAGCACAGGAGCTGATATCAGATTTTATTTCATCACTGTGTTCCTTGTTTTATCATGTTTAGTCACGTTCCACGATTAAATGTTCAGCTACGTTTGACTTCCATGTTTGTACGTAGTGTGGCCCAGTGATGAAGTACCACAGAACCATGAGATAGGCAGGCTTCTTTATCAGCTGCTGTTTTAAATGATCTCAATCCTGATTTATGTCGAGTTCTGTTCCTGAAATGAAAAACCCCACCTGTCCAAATGAGGATTCACTAAAGGAGAGACAGAACAGAAACCCTGAGATGGACTTGGAGAGTCTGGCTATTTAGCCTTCATGTGTTGGCCTTTTTACCACAAAGTTAAGTGGTTTTCTTTTTCTTCTTCTGATTTTTAGAATAACCTTATTTCTAAAGAGTCCTCAGTAGAACCATTTGAGAAGGAAGCCACCTGGTATTTGACCTGTTTTAGAGGTCACAAGCCAAACAGGTTAGAAACCAGTGACATATGTGTAAAGTTTCCTGTCATTGAAAACATGTTGCTGTACCCAGCAGCAGCCGTCACAGACACCAGGATGTGTTCAAAGACTGGTTGAGCGGCTGGGACTAAAGAGATTGGATTGTGATGATTCATATTCAGTGGACATCAGAGTGAGTGTCTCTGCCGGCGAGTTGATCAGGAAGAATTAATCCTTCAGATTTCAACTTGTGAAGGATGACGGTCTGGTGCTGAATAACGTGACTTCTTCTGCTGCTGCTTCTCATCTCATCAGCCTGAAGATGAAGGGATGAGATTCCTGATGAAAACAGCTTAAGTTGTCCGTCTGCGTCCTGCACCGTCCTCCTGGGCTCAAACCCACAGCTTTCTGCTCTAATTTGGCTGCCAGCGGGGGGACAGCCCGCACTGAAGAGTCTCCCAAGTTTCTGAATAGTGAAGAGAGGAATATTTGCTCTCTGGAGAGGAGGGGGTGATAGAAATCTGCTGGTTATTAGAGACGGGAAGTTTAATTTGGTTTGGAAAGAGAGCCAGGGAGAGAGCGAGCTTCACTGAGTGTTAGAAAGTCATCAGGGTCAGGTCTCCAACTCCGCTTCTTAATTTCAGCTTCATCTCACTTTCCTGCTTTGTCTGTTTCTCTTTCTGCTCACAGGCTATTTATGTTCTCTGATTTCCAACCAGATCACTTTGAACAGTGGCTGGAGAAATGTCCGGTCACATGGTAAAAGCATGACCACTGCAGCTAGAAATGTGACACTGCATGTGAAAATTTCAGAACCCACTGCAGGAGGAAGTGTGGTCTAAGCACCGTTACTGTGGCCATGTGTCACTTTACATAGAAGCAGTACCACAAATGGTTCAAATGTTGTGCTGCAAGTGTGGACGTCACTGTGGACGTTCGTACTTCTGGTAGGGTCGTCTTCACCTCTGTTTGCTTTGCCTCCTTCTCCTCCCTCCCTCTATCAAATGGTCCCGGCCTCAGACGCCGGGTCCTGCTGGGTTGTTGGTTGAGAATAAAATTTACTGTTAGGAGGAAGTCCTGTTCAGGTTTTTGCTCCATTTGTCTTCTCACCACTTATTTTTCAGACTGAATCTTTTCCTCCTCTTCTTCTCAGGTTGGAGCGTCTGGTCGAAGTGTTGAGGAAGAAGGTCGGGACAGGAAGCCTCCGAGCCGTTGTCTGATCATCTGATTTTATTTTCAGTTTTCTGTTTTCATCCATTTTACTGTTGATTTTTTCCCATATTTCATTAAAAACATCTGCGCTCATGCAGCCGATGGACATTGGTGTTGTATGTTTCTGCTGTTATGAACCTAGACGGTGTTTTCTCTTGTGTTTATAACTACTGTAAACCCACAGCGTTCTTCATGGCCTTAAAGTTTTTTGACTTTGTTTCCGTATTTTGTGTTCAGTTGTAATCATTAAATATTTCCAATAAGATGGATCAGCTTCTGTTGTTTGTATTTTGGAGTAAACATGGCTAAGTGAATTCTTTTTTCTTTATTTGGTTTTGGCATGAGGTGAAATAAAGCAGCACAACAAACAGTTATATGTCATATATTTTTATTTGATGACAATTGGAAATGTTTTTATTCGTGCAGACCCAAAGAATAGCTGTTTTATTGAAGATACTTCCTTGAGATGTTGAAAATAATGTACAGTACTTTTAAAGTCAGAGAAGAAGAAATGAACAAGTTAAATGTGGTTTAGTTTCTCCTGAAGCTGCAGGTAACCCCATTTAATGATCTGCCAACATAATGAACATTTTAATGAGCAGGTGTCCTTCTGTGTCACAGAAACGATGAACTGAGTCCGGTTTTCATCTCGTTTCAGTGTCTCCAGTGAAGGATTCCTCCTCCTCCTCCTCCTCCTCTAATTGAGATCAGTCTGCCTTTTAGTTCTTCTGTTGATTTAAGGTTTGTCTCTTAAACTCTCCTGTTTTAAACAGAAACACTGCTCAGATTAATTTCATATGATCGCTTTGACAAATGTGTGGAAGCTGCTCTGACTCCATGTTCCCTAAAACTTCATATTAAAATTTAACTTTAATAACTTTCAACAACTTGGCCAAGCTGCCACTTTAAAAGAAACAAATGAAGCTTCATCAGGCAACTGCTTTCTGTTTTTTATTGTCCCTGAGGGGGGAACTCCCTTCCATAGTTACAGCGCGTGAAGACACAAAAACAGTAAGACAGTATACAAATATTTCTGACATCAAACACAGTCACATGGTGTGTCCTGAGGGACCGGGGGTCTTGGTTTGGAGTGTACCTACTGCACTTTTAAAGCTTTTCACCTTTGATTTTGTTACAACATTGAATCATCAGCAGTTTAATGTGGGGTTTTTGTCACTGATGACACGAAAAGACACTTTCATGTCAAAGTGGAGACAGATCTCTACCACGTACAGTAAAATATAAGAGGAAATAACAGTTTGTGTTGGTGTTCAGTGCTTTCAAGTCGGTGGTTAGAAGATGCACCTTTGGCAGCAGTTGCAGCACTGAGCCTGTGGGTACGTCTGTCAGCTTTGCACATCTGGACACTGGAATTGTTCTCCATTCTTCTGTGCAAACCCGCTCAAGCTCTGTCGGGTCATGTGGGGATGGTGAGTGAACAGCCCTTTTCAGCCGCACATTCTAGTTGGACTGTGGTCTGGGCTCTGACCCTAACACCTAACACACAAACAGTGTTGTTTTCCTTCTGTGCGGAGTTCTGGCTGCATGCCTGGGGTCATTGTCTTGCTGGAGAACAAGGCTTCTCCCAAGTCACAGTTGTCTTACACACTGTCCCAGGTTTTCCTCCAGGCCTAAATGTTGCTGTATTAGTTTAACTGTATTAGTTTGGAAACCCCTACTCTGACTTGTCAGTAACCTTTTGTCTGAGTTGCTTGGAAGGTTCATGTCTTCCTGGTGCAGGTTTTGGCCCAGACACAGATTCACCGGTAACTGGACCTCCAAGGTGTATTTGTACTGCAGTCACATGAAACACATTATCTGCACACAGATGTCCTCTGATCAACTAATTGTATGACTTCAACAACAGCTGGCTGCACCGGCCATGATTTAGGCCAGTCACTTTTATAGGCAGTGAATACTAATGCAGCCAGTTATTTTCTGTTGTACATTTTTAAGTAGATTTAAAATTAAATCAGATATTCATTCTTTTACTTTGCAGAGATTGTTTTCACTTTCATATGATCACTGTCAAAAAAAAAGCCAAATGAGGAGTTTCTGGGAAGGAACTATTTAAGACGGTGTGCACAGCAGATGGGACAAAACTCTTCCCTGCAGAACAGTGTTTAGTAAGGTCTGCCTGATGGTGGGGGTGGGGGTGGAGGCCAGTGAGTGCAGCTGGAGCAGGTCAGGTGTGTGGAGGTTAATAAGTCTTGTGGCAGTGTGTGTGATGCTGTGGTTGGTAACTGTCAGCATGGTGTAGAAGGTCACGGAGCCACAGAGAAGGTTCAGTGGTGCTGAGAGAGATGTCTGAGTTTTAGCAGACACCCTCTGGAGAAATGAAAGACAATAGAATAAGTTTTTACTCTTTGAGGATCAGCCTGCAAGGCAAACCTGAGGGCAGAAACAAACTGACCCGTCAGTGTTTTGTTTTGTTTTTTTCATTTAGCTAAAAGGTTTAAAAAAAAATTGCAAGATATAATCTAGTGTTTGTTGACTACCTGTCAAATTAAGCCTTATTTCAGCTTTGGACAGTGTTGATGGACAAAAGAGAGGGAATAGTCCTTTAACGTGATGTGAGATTCAACAAATACATATAAAAGTTTATTAGAAAATAAGGCAAAGACTTTAAAGGGCCAGTTCCTCACCTGTTGGTCAGAGTGTAATGTACAGTTAATTAGTTTACTACAAAGAGCTGTGTAATGTTATGGTTGTGGGACTTGCTTCCTGTTGGCGTCCTTTTATTTTGTCTGTTTCCTATCCTGTGCCACCTCACCTGCCCCAGCTTTACCTTGCTTTCTAATCACTACTCGTTTCCACCTGCTGCTCGTTATCCTCTGGTCTCCTGCCCATATATTCCCTCCTTTCCCTTGGTCACTTGCTGCTTCGTTCCATTCGCTGCGCACCACACCCTGTCTGTTCTGTTCTGTTCTGTTCTGTTCTGATTGTGCGTCTCCTGTTTAACTTCCCTACCTTTTGCTTCCCCTGGACCATTTCACCTTGTCTCTTTGTTGGACTTCTTGACTTGAGGATTCTTGGTTTGTTCCTCTGGTTTATTTGTTTGTTTTTGGTTTTGTTGTGTAGCTCCTGGGCTGAACTGTTGAGTTGTGTTTTTGTTGACTCCTTTACTTGGTCTTTCATCTGGTTGAGCTCCTTCAGTTTTTAACTTCTGTCTCTGTTCCTTATCCTTCATATTAAAAACTATTACGAACTCCATCAGAGTCTGTGTCTGCATTTTGGATCCTGATCTGACACGTAATTACAGAGAAAGGTTAACGCCTCCAGTTTGAATGAGCCTTTTAGCGTTTACAGCAGACCCATGTGAAACTTGTTTACATGCAAACCGATATATGAGGAATAAACTTCCCAGTGAAAAATAAATATCAATTAATTCAGTTGTTTTTATTTAGAGTTTGTTTGTCTGAGAACTCATCCTTCATTCGTCGACAATGAAACAAGACTTTCAGATATTTTGGACATGCAAGGTTTCCACCGCCCCCCCACGGCCAGTTGCCGTGGTAACAGACCACTGTGGTCGACTTGGGTGTCCTGGTTTTAATCCTGCAGCCGTTAATCTGCTTGTTCTGCAGAAAGACCCGGTTTGTTGGAGCTGCAACTTCTGACGCCGCCTGGGAGAGAGAGAGTGTGTGTCTGTGTTACTGGGGGTGTCTAGCCGTGTGGCACAGAGAGTGTGTTACTGGGGGGGTTTAGCCATGTGGCACAGAGAGAGAGTGTGTTACTGGGGGTGTCTAGCCGTGTGGCGCAGACACAGTTTTCTTTATCCATAGAGTGTTAGAATGGGTTTGTTGCTTCTGGAGGGGGGGTTACTTTGTGTGTGTGTCCTGTTAACTTTAAAATCAGTTGGATCTCAGTCAAGTCCAAACTCTAACTCACCTGTGTACCTGCTTACACTGGTCCTGCTCTCTGATTGGCCCCGTCACGCACCGTACTTCTTTTTGATATTTTGAGGTCATAGACAGGCGATGTAGTCTGTGTGGATGGAGCAAAGGAAAATCTACTGCCTCTTTTAACCACGACTGCACCTTAATTATGCGTTTGTTAGTGTAACCATGACAACGAGGGTCCTCCAACCTTGATGAGGTTATTTGAACCCAAACCGCAACATTCCCACGGCCTTTACCAAGTAGTGTTTGTATCTAAGCTTTAACTGTTCCATAATCTTAATCATGTGTTTCTTATTGTTACCATGACAATGATGGTTCTGGTACCTGCCACCATTAAATGAACCAATCAGATCTGTAGTTGGTCATATTTAACCTTTGACCTTTACCTGAACATTTGCTCTTTACCAGTAGCACCGAACCCCATCTGTGTTACGTTGGAGGGAACAGCGATGATCGACATCTTTGGAAAGTGTGATATAATACGTAGTGAATGTATCAGTGAAATGTTCACAGACGTTGGTCTTCTGACAAAACGGCAGCAACACCCCCCATAGGAGCTCGTCACTGCTGCAGCTTTCTCCACCCCTTGGTTTGCCTGTTGTTTTAGACCCAGCCCCCGTCTTTGTCTCTCTTCCTGCGCACGCTCACCTGCTTCCTACCTGTGTATTCACCCAGTCGGTGTTTAAGCCATCGGCCACAACACATTACCTGCCGGATTGTCCACACAGAAACACTAACTGAGTTTGTGGTCACCCCAGTTTACCGCTTGCTTCACCTGTGTACGGACTAGTTTGTGCTCTGCTTCTGGATGGCTCTCTGCCCGCTGCCTGACTTATTAGCTCAGTCCTGGTGCTCAATAAGATCTGTTTGCCTCAAGTCCGTCTGCCCGCTAAAGAACAGTGTGTGGTTCTGACCGAGTCTAACCTGCTTCCTGTTAGCCACCCTGCAGACCACTTACTGTTGTTTCCCTGGCTACTTGCTGCTGTGTCTTACCTAAAAGTGAACTCTAGCCTGGACATTGTGAGAACCCTCAGTTGGCCTCTAGCCCACTCTTACCTGTATGAACTGACTTAAGATCCAACCAGCAAAGTACTAATGTACCTGTATGTCCTGCAGAATGGCCTGCAGATGTGTACTTACCTGTAACTGTAGTACCAGTACAGCTGGATGACTGGTCGCTCCTGGTTATGTAACCTGTTCATCATAATGTGTCTCTCCAGGTGGTGGACTCATCCTCCGGACCTGATCCACAGTGCGTCCTCAGGACCTGCTGGTTCAGACTCACCAGTCCAGGATCACGAGGAGGAGACTCAGAGAGCTGCAGTTGCATCCAGGTAACTTCTGCTCTGTGTTTGCCCTGGTTACCGAGGTTTCTTGGTTCCTGTTTACACTGGTTTACTGCACAGGCACAGGACAAATACCACCAGGACATGGTGCACATATGAATACTACCAGTC